ATATATATATATATATATATATATATATATATATATATATATATGTATATACAAACACGACTAGTTTGGCACCAGTCGGAGATTTTACCCTGAGCTATCAGCGTCCGGTAGAGAGGAAAGCGAATTTTTATGTACCCATTCTTCGAATAAACACGCCAATGACCATGAGGGTTCAATTCATAGAAGAGCTTTGCAGTATTAGCAGTAGTAGTCATTGTTTACATATTCGCGCTTTCTCACCAGATTGCTCGACAGGAATTATATTTTCCGGGGGCTTAATATATATATATATATATATATATATATATATATATATATATATATAATGTATATTTCCTCGTGAAAGATGACCTTTAAATCCAAATAATTACCCTTAAAAATTGGGGCCGTCTTACAGTACAATTCTAAAAAAGAAACCTTAAATTTTGAGTGATGTTTGTCGGTAGGTTAACCTCGGTGAAAAGATTCACATTACCAAATAAACTGATAATATAAGTAATAAAACTATTTATACCTTATATATTACCGACATAACTTCATAATTGCCTATTCAAAAATAATATCAATGAAATCAACTTGTTCCCATGCAAGCTCAGCTGAGAAAAGGTAAGCATAGATTTATAATTGTGTTCACAGCAACCTGTATCTGTTATTAATCTGTTATTTTTGTGATCAAGTGACGAAGAATAAGTAAATGGGTATAAGTACACCAGGCTGTTTGTAACTGTTTAGTAAGTTTTTTTTTGTCCGTATGTAAAAATTATAATAAATAATTATTACTCTGCTCTTGGTATTGAGCCCTCTTTTGAATTTATGCTGTGAACGTTAGCATTTATTTTATTTACGTTCTCATTACATTCGGATATATATATATATATATATATATATATATATATATATATATATATATATATATATACAATATATATAGGACGAATATATATATATATATATATATATATATATATATGAGGAATGTAATAGGATATATATATATATATATATATATATATATATATTTAGTTGGATAGATGTGAGTTTTGTGACCCTGGGTTTCACGCTTTAGCGATCATCAGACAAAAGCGTGAAACCCAGGTCACAAACTCACATCTATCCAACCAAATATGTTAGCTCTAGCTCTGATATTGAGTGCTTTCTAATAAGTACCGCGCATATAATATATAAATAATTATACATATATATATATATTTATTTATTTATATTTATATACTTTTCACATATATATATACATATATATATATATATATATATATATATATATATATATATATATGTATATATATATATGCCTGAACACAATCTTTTGAACATGAAACAGGCTCTCACTGCGCGCTGTTGATATCAATGTCCATTTCTAAGTTGTATATGCATTATCCATGATATATCCATAAATATAGCATACCTTAAAATTATATTTTTATCATATCCTATCCGGATTACCCGTGCCTTCATGCGTGTCACACATTTTTTGTGAGAAAATGATGATTGATTAAAAATCATTGCTACAATTTGTGAATAAAATGCTGCATTTCAATAATACTCAATTATCTTGACGATGTCACCTCCATCTTCTGGCTTTCTCCTTCTTTATGTTGGATAGTAGGCATTTTTTTGTTCAAATTTGTGCAAAAACAGCTTCATCTGATCCATTTGATATACTTGATTGAATGAACTGATGAGCTGATTTTGAGATTGATATGACAGTTGAATTGTTGCAACAAATATGTATTGTAAAACACTACCCTCACATTGTCTCATTTTGATCTGGCCCATGTAACCTCCATCAATCAACCGGTTATTCCCATGTTCAAATTTAAATTTAATTCAACTGAAAGGGGAAAGATGATTTGGTGGGGGGGGTGCGTTCCCAGGGAAACCTCTTTTATCAAAATGAAATATTCTTATCCAAGTGCCCTAAGAATCATTCCCTTGTTCAAATTTAATATTATAATTATTTTCTATTTTAAAATTATGGTTCCATCGCTACACAGGAACTACCATGTTTCAAAACTGAAACTAAAATTTTAAATTTGATTATAAAAATAAATTTAAAATCCATAGCTCCATCTCATTCTCAAGCGATTTTTGAAAAATGCTTTACTGCTTTGTATCGAGCATTATTTTTTTATTTTTTAAATAATTACACACACACACACACACACACACACACACACACACACACACACACACACACACACACACACACACATATATATATATATATATATATATACTCGACTGTCCCGTCGAATTCTATCAGTTCCTAGGAAACCGACAGCCCGACAAGAGCACATGAGATTTGATTAAAGTGTTGAAGGTTTCGTGCAGGATCATCCACACTTTTTGAAGGTCCGATTACAGAGATCTGGTGCACTAAGTGCCACAAAGTCCCCAAACGACCCTCCGCAGGTTTTGAATTCAGAGTTGTCCTTCTCCTAGACCAGTTGCCATCCAAGGCTATAGAACCCAATCTGTCCTGCTATTTACCCATAGCTGGAGGGAGAAGAAGAGGATTCACACCTTTCCCAAGGGTATTAGCACGTAAGTGAATATAATAGATTTGACTGAAATTTGAACTCAGGTCTCCGATATATATATATATATATATATATATATATATATATATATATATATATATATATATATATATATATATCTATACAGTCGTGTATAGAATGACCCCAAAACTATTTTTAAAAATATATTTTATTGATGAATAATTTGTGGTTTTATTTTCCTTTTTTTTTCATGGAGTGACGTAGACACCTTGAAAGAGTTTATCGTTCATGCAGATAAAAAAAAATCGATGTGCAGCAAAGATCCTTATCAGGAGGCCTGTGTGAACGTTAGGATCGGGTTACAAAACCGAATAAGGTGGGAAACAATTTGGACATTGACGGCTTGAAATTATCCACTGGGCTTTTTATTTTTTTTGGTTTTATATATGGGGAAATATCACCTGTTTTGTTTATTCATCGAAATAAAAATAAAAAAAAGGTTTGGTGGGTCTGCATTACATAAATAAGACACATGGTGTATAAGAAAAGAATAATAATTTCGTGTTATCCTCCCGGAAGACAACCGATAACACTTGTAATAAATGATGTTTCATTGCTCGCATTTTATAATATCAGTGTGCCTGCCTGCCTATCTGCCTATCTATCTATCTATCTATCTATCTATCTCACAATATCTGTTTCTTTCCTTCTATATATCACTATGTTCATATTACTTACTCTGACTCACTCTCTCTCTCTCTCTCTCTCTCTATATATATATATATATATATATATATATATATATATATATATATATTAAAAAGAAGAGGGGTGCCGCAAACGTTTTTGGTTGTAATGTGGATTTATTGAGAAAAAATATTATACTTTGTTTTACATAATTTCACGACACGTGTTTCTGGTCTGGTCTCGCAAGCGTCTTCAGGTGAAAGTGGAGATTTTTACATATTATTAAAAATAATTAATTTTTCTTCATGTTCAATGTGGAATATTATCGATATGAGACATTCTGTTTGTGTGTTGGCAATCCGAATTTTCTTTCTAGAATTGTCAATGAAGAGTTCTGCGTGAAGGGTCATAAAACAATTAAGGTTTGTCCAGCGAGTAGTTATCGGCATTTAATCTTTTAATGTTTTTTGTATATATATATATATATATATCCATTTTGAATAATGATAAATGCATATATATATATATATATGCGTATTTGTGCATATATATATATATATACATATATATTGGATAAATGAATAGCTCTATTTTCCCAGACCAATACAAACTATTAAATAAGCGACCTAAGCAACGTAGAAAAACGAAATGTATAAATAAATATATAAAATCAAAAATGAAAATAAATAAAAACAAGTAAAATAAATTAAACCCAAATAAATAAATAAGTAAATAAACAAACCACTCCCGCCAAAATAACCGCCAGAATAGACTACCCACAATGCACCACTGATATATATAAATAGTCGAGAAGAAACCCAACATACGCAACCTGACGATTGTTCATTTTTATAAATGTTTTTTTTCGCTACCCAATAATAACCATGTTTCAAAAACTGAAGCTAAAAACATAAAATCTAATTATATAATTAAATTAAAAGCATTAGTTCCGTTTCATCTTCAAGCGAATTTTGGATTAACTTATTTTGAAATTTACTGAGTTTTAAACGCACATATAAATTCATAATTTTCTGTTTCCAAAGATACATTTATGAGTTACGTTCGAAAAAGAAGTTAAGTTTAGGGAGGGTAGGGGTGTATTTTTCAACGAATTCTGACATCCGTTAAACGCATGTCGTCTGTTTTTCTGGGTTTTTTTAACGGCAAAATGTTTTTCCTCATTTTTTTCGTACTTGTACACTTATAGATTCTTTCTAGGGGTGTTCGGGTTAGAATACGTTTTATTTAACTACAATTTAAAATTTTTTTTACCCTTAATTACTAATAGACTATATTTCTTTTTAAAACAAGTAAATGTTATAGAATTACTTAAATTATTTAAAATTATTTTTTCATATCAAATATAAGTATGTATATTACCAGCTTTCATTTTTTTTAATTTTTAAATATTATTTAAGCACATTTTTGACAATGACGGCAAATAATAGCTATTTCATTTCTCTGATTCAGTAAATTTTTTTTTATAAACTTAGTAATATATAGTTGCTCATGTATGCACAAAGGACATGGGTTATTTAATGACCTACATATTCTAGCTTTTCTTATTAATTTCCATTTTACTGTAGGTGTTTTATTGGATTCTTTTAAATTTACATTGAGCATTGTTAAAATAAAATATCTATAAGAACACCGGATTATATATCTTACAGATCTTTCTTTATATATATATATATATATATATATATATATATATATATATATATATATATATATGAGTGGAGTAGTGGTGAGTGAGTGGGCGAATGATTAAATGAGAGGATGACTGAGACAGTGTTAGCGTGGAAAAGTAATTGAAAGAGGGCAAGAAGAATTGTGAATGAAAGAGTGAGTGAGTGAAAAGAAGAGAGTTACTGACACAGTGTATGAGAAAGTGAAAAGAAGGATGTGTAAATGAGAAAAAGAGTTAAAGAGAGAGTGAGTGATTATGCAAGAGTGAATGAATGAGAGAGTGAGTGCGTAAGTGAGAAAAATAGGTAAAAAGTTAGTCAGTGAAAGAAAGAGAGAGAGAGAGAGAGGGAGAGGGAGACAGCGCTAGTAACTGAGTGAGAGAGAGAAGCTGAAAACAGACAGTGAAATTGCAAGAGAGTGAGAGAATGTGTAAGAGATAGTGAGTGAGATATTAAAGGTTAGTGAGTGAGTGAAAGTAAGAGAGAGAATAAGTGGGAGTAGAGAAATTGAGGTTGAGACAAAAGAAATTGAGTGAGACAGGGTGTGAAACAGTAAGTGAGAGAGAGAGAGAGAGAGAGAGAGAGAGAGAGAGAGAGTTAAGTGAGTGTGATAGCGTTAGCGTGTGAAATATTAATAGTAATGAGAATATCAACTGTTTCCTTATAAGGAAACATTTGGTATTCATTGACCGTACAGGCAGAGCTGCTAACGGTTGAAATCTATAAAATCTTTCTATTAAAACAATTTTTCAGGAAAATAAGTTTTCTGAAATCCAGTAACTGTTATCGATCTTTCCAGTATTTATGTTGGCTTCCTTCCTAACCCTTTGTTTGGGGAGGCAGTGTGAAACGTCAGTATCTTCGTTGTGTCATTATACTCTCTTCCAGTTACATGTGCTACGCATTTGGGAGAGAGAGAGAGCGGGAGGGGAAGAGAGGAAAGATAGATAGGGAGGGGGAAGAGAGGAAGAGAAGTGGATGAGTGAGGTGGAAAGAGAGAGAGAGAGGAAGAGAGTGAGTGAGGGGGAAAGAGAGAGAGAGGAAGAGAGGGGAGACAGAGAGGGAGGGAGAAAGAAAGAGAAAGTGGGATAGAGAGGGGGGAGAAAGAGAGAGAGGAAGAGAGGGGAGATAGAGAGGGATGGAGAGCGAGAGAGAGAGAGAGAGGGAGAGAGGGGAGATAAAGAGGGAGGGAGAATGAGAGAAAAGAATATAGGGGAGACAGAGAGGGAGGGAGAAAGAGAGAGAGAGGAAGAGAGGGGAGATAGAGAGGGAAGGAGAACGAGAGAGAAAATAAGATAGGGGAGATAGAGAGGGAGAAAAAGAAAGAAAGAGAAAGTGAGGGGAGATGGAGAGGGAGAGAAAGACAGAGAGAAAGAAAGAGAGGGGAGACAGAGAGGGAGGGAGAAAGAGATAGAAAGCGAGGGGAATAGAGAGTTGATAGAGAGGGAGAAAAAGAAAGAAAGAGAGGGTAGATAGAGAAGGAGGGAGAGAGAAAGAGACAGGCGATAAAGAGGGAGGGAGAGAGAAAGAGAGAGAAAGAGAGAGGGAGAAAGAGAGATAGGAAGGTGGAAGAAAGAAAGAGAGAAGATAAAGAGGGAGGAAGAGAGAAAGAGAGAAAAAGAGAGGAGAGATAGAGAAGGAGGGAGAGAGAAAGAGACAGGCGATAAAGAGGGAGGGAAAGAGAAAGAGAGAGAAAGAGAGAGGGAGAAAGAGGAGATAGAGAAGGTGGAAGAAAGAAAAAGATAGAAGATAAAGAGGGAGGAAGAGAGAAAGAGAGAAAAAGAGAGGGGAGATAGAGAAGGAGGGAGAAAGAAAGAGAGAGGAAATAAAGAGGGAGAAAGAGGGAGAAAGAGAGGGTGGGAGAAAGAGAGGGTGGGATAAAGAGAGAGAGAGAAATTGAGGGGGAAAGAGAGGGGACATAGAGAGGAGGGGGAGAAAGAGAACGAGAGAGAGATTTTGTGCCGCACCCAGTGTTATTATTAACTGATAATCAATTTAACTGTCACTGCTCCTGTATCATTTACGAATGGAAGTCACGCTTTTCAGCACGTCATTTGGAATTGGTACCAAATTCGTGGACAATCTGCTGGGGGTTCAATTCATTCTGTTATCGGGAAAATAATTTATTTACTTTTCTCTGCTCCTCCCTCCATTTTATTTCAATTGAGAGACCATTATTTAAATATGACATTTATTTTGAAAAACTTTAACATTATTATTTCAGTTGCTGACATTTTCTTGACTCTTAAGATTATTAATTGCTACATAAAATATGCGAGATGAAAATCAGATAGACCAACGGCTTGTTTCAAATTTCATTCGTTTTGCTCTTTTCTCATTATTCGTTATTTTATTTCTGTTTCTTCATTTGGCTTCTTTTTTTCATTTTTTTCTTTGCCTTTCATTTCACACATTGTTTGTTTGTTTCTTTCTTTTCATCTAACACACATTACTATTATTTTTTTCTTTCGTTGCTCATTTTTCTGTCTTACGCACTTCTTTCTGGCGTTTTATTTCAGAAACATCATTTTTTCTTCTTTGCTGTCATAAACCTATCTTTCTTTCTTTCTTTTTTCTTTCTTTCACACATACAAATCTTTCTTTCTTTTTCTCTTGCCGATTTCTTTTTTACGTTTTATTTGACACACATTTTTCGTGCCCTCACAAAGCTCTCTTTCTTTCTTTCTTTCTTTCTTTCTTTCTTTCACACATGCTTATAATCCTTTTTTCGTTTTCTTTTACACACGTATTTCTTTCTTTCTATAATACTCATTATTTACTTTGCTCTTACAAACTACTCTGTCTTCCTTTCTTTCTTTCATACATATTTATAACAATTCTTTCTTTTTATTTTGAACACGTATTTCTTTCTTTCTTTCTTTCTTTCTTTCTTTCTTTTGTTTTTTTCACATACACACTTCCTTTTTTACTCTAACAAACCTTTCTTTCTTCCTGTTTTACTTTCTCCCTTTTCTCTTTCTTTCTTTCTTTCTTTCTTTCTCTCTTTCTTTCTTTCTTTCTTTCTTTCTTTCTTTCTTTCTTTCTTCCTTATTGTTTCTTTCTTCATTCATTCATTCATTCATTCATTCTTTCTTTCTTTCTTTCTTTCTTTTGCTCATTAGCGAGCGATGCCACATTCAACCCGAAATAGCGTGGGAATATACTGAGGATCCGTCATCACGGTAAATGTCCCAAAGAAATATTTAGCGTGCACAAAATGAAAAATTTTAAAGATATCACTGATTTCAAGATTGAAAGTGCCAAAAATATTTAAATTGCACATAAAATTACACACCAACAGAGATATATATATATATATATATATATATATATATATATATATATATATATATATATATATATATATATATATATATATGTATATATAATTATAGATAACTAGACTCGTTTCGAAAAACCCACGAATTTTGATTTGCGATTTGCTAATAATCAAATCAATCTGGAGGGAAAAAGAGGTTTTAAAAAAAGAAAGAGCTACAAACATGAACTTCTGCCGACAAAAATTCGCACAGATGCAGGTTTGAAGCCCAAACAAAAAACCCCGATACGAGGAAACAACTAACTAACAAAAGAGCTCAATACAACCGTAGAGCAGACCTAGATACACCTAGTGAGCCAGACAAAGCTACCTAGGTATGACCTAAACGGATCGTCATTCCCTGACGATCCGTTTAGGTGAAACCTAGGTAGGTGTATATATATATATATATATATATATATATATATATATATATATGTGTCTGTGTGTGTGTATGTATGTATATATATATATATATATATATATATATATATATATATATATATATATATATATATATGCAATTTATTATAGATATTATTATATATTATATATGCGTAGTACTTATTGGAAAGCGCTCAATATCAGTGATAGGACACATCAATCCAACTATATATATATATATATATATATATATATATATATACGTGTATATATATATATATATATATATATATATATATATATATGTATGTGTGTGTGTGTGTACCACACCTTTGTTCCAGGATTGGAAACTTGTCGAGAAACGACTGAAGTCAAACTTACTTGTCTCTATTGAAACCACAAATAACCATTCCTAGTTCTGTATTATATTTATAACTTCATTTTTAATAATATATGGTCAATAAGAATCCATTTTTAGCTTCCAAGCAAATAATTTTATTTTTTAATATTGTACAGAAAAAAGTAATCTAAATTTATGAATACATGCATGTACATATTTGTAGATGTTTACAATTTGGCGATCTTTACAGTACGCCGAGTATTCTTTATTTGCGAATGTGGCTTCCCGTAAGACATTGTAAAATAAAATGATTTTGTAAGGTTAAATAACAAATACAGTTATTAATATTATTTTGCGATTGTATAAAATTTTTAGGTAACTCCACGAAATCGCTAAAAATAGAGCATAGTTTGATGATAAAGACGCCAAAGTTTATGAAAACAAAATTTTATCGTCAAAATGCTTGTTTTTATGAAGAGGATAGACCAAATTTTTTTTTAATTATTGTTAAAAATTTTTCCATCTTTTTAGAATATTCTAAATTTTGATTTAAAAAACCTTGTTTCTCTTTGTTGCAACAAGGGGTAGTAAATAACATAGATAATTTTTAGCGCGTTTTTTTTGTATTACACACATAATTTTTGGAAAATCTTGCAAAAATAAAAATAATTGTCAGATGTTAATGAAACTTTCAGAAACTATTCACAGATGATCGAAATTATTATAAATATGTATTTTTTATTAAAGTCATGGCAGAAATATTTTTTTATATTTATTAACACCCCATAACTAATTTTATGAAAAACTCTAGAAATTCGAGACCATCGGTTTTAGTAATTACAATAGTTAAAAGCACAAGGCTTTGAAGAATGCAAATCATGTATTTTGGGGTTTTTTTTTTTTTGGCCAACGTACCTGAAAATCAGCTCTGAATTGTAATATACAAAACTCAATAAAACAAATATGTTATTTAATTTCAAATGCTTTTATTTGTTTTTAGTTGTTTTTATGAATATGGACAATATTTTCTGAAAGCAAAAAATTTTTCAAGGAAAATTGAATTTTTAATACAATTATTTCTTATTTCTTTAATTTTGAATAGATTTTTTAAAAAATTTTTACATTGAATTTTTAAAAATATTATAAAATTAGTTAAAAGCAACGTCAATCTTTCAAAGTGTCCGTGTGAGATTGTCATTGTCTAGCGCTTTGAAAATTGTATAATTTGGACCAATCAGAAGATCCACAGTAATTAAGAAATGTAATTTTTGTGTTTATAATCTGGCAGTAATTATCGTCCGGAAGACCAACCAGAATACAATTTAGTTGCATTATTTGAGTTCAGCATTGTTCTCCGCAGTTAAGGCCTTTACTTTTGCGAAACACGTATGGAGAAGTTAATTTGAGTTTTCAATTTCAACTGAGAAGGGTACCTACATGTATCAGTATCATCTTATGAAATTTAACTACTGCTAAACTTTAATTTATATGATCTTATTTTTATATTAATCTCAGTTATGACATTTTTCCATAAATGAAATATCAAAATTAATAATAAAATGAATGGAAATACAAATAACACAGTAAAATGTAGTAAATGTACATAAAATTATAGTATTTTATGTACACTTCTGATAAAATTTCATAAGAAAGGTACCTATAAATTAATTAGATACCTTTTTCTTATGAAATTTAATCTCACTCTTAACAGTCTTATTTTTTAATTTCTTTATATTTTCCATAAAGCATCGTAAACGTAAAGGTGAAAGCTAAGTACAAAAAAAAAAAACTTTTAAAAATTAGAGCACTGAAAGTTTTCCTTAAAAGTAACGAGGTAAATAATTTGTTCACTTAAATCTAAATAATTTTTCACTTCCTTCCATCCGTAGAAAGAATTATCCTCCCGTAAGTTATCTAAACGTCATGAATCTGCCTTTCGTCACTTGTCAAACGACGCGAGAGGTTATGACCTGCTTTGTTTTATTTTCAAATTACATTTTTTCGGCGCAGAAGCTAAGTTTGGTTCAAAATATTTTAAATAAACAGTATAATTTCTGTTTTTATTAAAATCAGTTTTGAAAAAATGATAATTGATTTTTAAAAGTATATCAAAGTCAGATTTTCATCTTTTTTATCAAATCGAAAAAAATGATTGAAAATGATTGATTATCTGTGCTTTTTTTTTTGACAAAAAAAAACAATATTTTTAACGAAAATTTCAGACGTGCTAGGAACGATTAAAAAATGTAAAAAAATACCCCCAAAATAGTTTGATCTTTCCTCTTTAATAATAATATGAACATTAGACAATAAACTTTTGTTTTCGTCAAGTTCGGCGTCTTTTTCATCATGCTATGCTCTTTTGTTTACATTTTCGTAGAGGTACCTAAAAATAAATTAATTTATGTTGAATTTAGCAATATTTATATTTAGTTTGTTTATTTACAACACGGATGTAGATGTCTGTGGATCTTGTGCCTCAACAGCTAATTCTGGCTGTTGTTGTTCAATACGCTTTTTAATAAGAAACTGGTCAAGAATTCCTTGAATTGTTTTCTTCAAGGATTACATAATACGAAGCAAAACCTTCGTGACAAGCGTGCATAACTTTTTAAAAGCTTTGACCGTTTAGGTACATATCTTCGAAGATATGATGTCCTTTTTCAATAAAAGCAAATGCTTCCAGCATTGACGTGCCACAGGTCCGACTTCTACGGGTTTTTTTTTTTGCTGGCCATTGGGCTTTATCAAATCCACGTTCATTATGATGTGCTTATCTTTTTCAAATAAAACTATGAAATCCTCCTCCTCCAAATCCATTTCCCGCTCTTTGTTCACGGTCACCAACGTATTGTTGATTTCAACATTATCAAACCCCTTCAAATCATTCACGAATTTCGGGCATAGTTTTTTTCCACACACCATTAATAGCCATGTTCTGAACAACATTCCATGCTGTCGCTATGTTCTGTACAGCCTTACATATGTCATACTTCAAAAAGTTACAAAGTTACTCATCAAGATCAGTTGCAGCTTTTGCTTGCCGTAACGTACGCTTCATATAGTAACACTTGAAGATGGCAATGACTCCCTGATCCATTGGTTGTATAAGAGACGTGGTGTTCGGAGGGAGGTACACGACCGTAACGTTGGGGTGAAAATCTACAATGTTTTTCGGGTGGCCAGGGGCATTATCAATTATTAATAATATCTTACCCCCTTCTTATTGTAATATTGCCTGCAGCCGTGATAAAATGATTAAAGAACCAATCTCCAAAAATAACAACAGTCACCCATGCTTCTGGATTAGCGTTCCATATAACTGGGAGAGATGCCTTGGTTACGTTCTTAAGGACACGGGGATTGTATGCATGACACACCAGCAATGATTTTAATTTAAAATCTCCATCACATTTACATCCTGACATAATTGTCTCACGTTCTTTTGAGGCCTTGTAGCCTGTAATTGATTTTTTCTTTTTTGGGGATGAAGGAACAACGATCTCGTAGTTTTTTAAATTATAATCCAGCATCTTCAACGTTAAAAATCTGTTTAGGAAGAAACCCGTGTTTTTTTCGATGATCTTAGCCAATGCTTTAGAAAAATTGGCTGCTGCTTGTTGGTCAGCTGATGCACTTTCATCTAGCTTCTTATTAGAATGATAACTTCTTCGTTCTTCAAATTTCATAAACCAGCCTTGACTGGCTTTAAAATCTACATCTTTCTCAGCTAGGTATTTTTTGTTCAGGTCCTCAAACAAATACAACACTTTTACTTGAATGATTTCTTGACTAATAGCAACACGTTGATGACTAAACCTATCAATCCAAAGAGAAAGAAGTTGCTCCATCTCTTCAAAGATTTTTCTTCTTTCCTTATTGATAACAATTTTCTTTATCCCTGGGGCATCAGATTTGATATGTGCCAAAATCTTATCCTTATTATGAACAATCGTCGATACAGTTGTCCGACTCATCCCAAAAGATCGAGCAATCGATATAACCTTTTCAAATTTAATGGCGTTTTATAATAGTAAGTTTATTGTCCATCGTTATAGCATGCCGCTTAGTACTTGGACTAGCAATTTTCTCTAACCATTGCTCATTTGGGAAGACACAGTAGGGCTGACACAAAACGATTTTAAACTGTTCTCTTTCTAGCTGAATAACTCTAAGGGATTTTCACTTGTTCTTACGAAAAATGGTGTCAAGATGGCTGAACTTCTTATTTGAAAATCTCGAAAAAACAAACTCAATTTAATGGGTATTTTAAGATATTAGGCATTTTGTGGAATAGAAATTATCCCATCCTGTTACATGATTTGGACAATTTTTTTGTTATACCTGGCATAGCTATGGAAGTTAGAGCTAATATCTGTTTTTTTTTTTTAATTTTATTTTGGAGTCTGTTATATAATAATCTGCGTTTAGAATATATAAAATATGATCGATTTAATTATGCCGACTATTTTGCATCTGTGTGAGTATAAACTATTAACGTTGAGTAGATATGAGTTTCAACTGGATTCTTATAAACGGAAGCCGTGAAAGCTTTGGTAACGTCCCTTCTTGCAAAGATACCAAAAGCCCACCATAAAGAACTTAATAAAGCAGATTTAATCTCTTCACTATGTCTGGTATTCTATCTTCTTTAATCTGGCGTGACCCTACAGAATATTAGCAACGATGACTCTCCACATTTTCTTTTGTAGCTCTTAACGAATTTTGTGTTTTGTTAGCTCTCTTAAGCCTTCATTCCCCATCCGTTTATCCAAGCTTGCCAGGTAAATTTATGTGTTGATTTTATCTGTCCCTCTTGCTTCCAATTTGTCTTGTGAGTATTAAATTCTGCAAGCACACTTTCTTCATTATGTTCTTTAGAAATTACAACTATCTCTTTCTGAGTTTCCTTTGTGTTTCCATTTTCTTTAAAACTTCGTCGTTGCTCACACCTTCTGACCATACTATTCTCACCATCCTTCTGTAAAACCGTATTTATGTTGCTTCAAGTCTCTTCATCTGTGAGGAGACTGTCCAGCATTCAGCGCCATATACGGGGACAAAAACTATTATTACTTAAAAATAATAGACGCACATATACATATATATATAGAGAAGTTAAGCAATGTGAAGTCCGTTAAGTACTTAGATGGAGAAGCTTGAGAGCAACACGTAGTGTAAGCAATGATAGAAGTCATAGCACGACTACGCCAGTGTCTTACTAGCAGACCGCTTGTCCTTGATTGGTTCTTGTCATTGGATCAATGCTAACCTTGATACCCTTAAAGCATGTGGACCTGACGGTATCCCTCTAAGAGTCATTAAGAAGTGTGCTCGTCAACTGGCTCCTGTTCTCTTTAAACTGTATAATAAATGCCTCGATGAGTCCTGCTTTCTTGCCCGCTGGAAGTAACCATATATTGTTTCAGTTTTTAAGAACCCTGGTGGGCCTCCGACCTTTCCAACTACCAGCCTATTAGCCTTCTACCACTCCTAGGTGTCCTAAACATTGCTTAAGTTGTTTATCATCTCTCATCACAGTGCCTTTTCTCAGACTAGCCATATGGCTTTCATTTCGCCGGGTCAATTTCCGATGCACTGACGATAATTGTGGAAAGAGTCTATACTGTTGTAGATAAAAACTGTTGTAGGTAATAAACAGTCCTAGTTGTAGCATTGGACATCTCGAAACTTTTTGACCGGGTTAGGCATTCAGGTCTTCTCCACAACCTGAAAAGTTATGGGGTCCCGGGACACATTTGTGAACTGATTCAATCTTTTCTATCAAATCGTGAAATGAAAGTTATACTAAACGGCCACTCGTCTAGATCCTTCCGTACTAACTCGGGTGTCCCTCAGGGCTGCATCCTTGGTCCTCTTTTGTTTTTAATTTTCATCTGAGACATTCCTGATTATATCAGTTCTCAACTTGGGATTTAAAATGATGACACAACCATTTACTTCTGCCTCGATAAGTAAGGCTGATCAGTCCGTCAAGGTCAAAATGTCAGTCGATGTCCATATATATATATATATATATATATATATATATATATATATATA